AACTGGAGAATAATGACACTAACGGATAAAAGGTTTACTAGAAAAGAAGCATGCAAAATATTGAACAAAGTCATATAATTGATACATCTTACTGTACAATTATCAACTACAGGCTACCTTATACCATAAGCAGTCTGTATACTCTCTGGTATTGCTAGATGAGTACATGAAGAGAACTCACCGCAGTACCTGTCACGTGAAGAGAAGCACCAGAATCTATGATCCATTCTAATAATCCTGTGGTGGAAATAAAGACAAGAGAGAGTGTGTCTCCAGTACATTTGCTTTAGTGAGCAAAAGTGGCAACATTACCCTTTGATGTCGATGGATTTGAAGTATCCTCAACTCTATCTCCTGTTGTTTTTCGCTTCCTCTTCAACATCTCCAGACATTTGTGATTCTCAATAGTAAAGATCACACTTGTCTCTCCCTCGTCCTCTGTTACCATCAGATTTTCCCGATAGCATACTTTTCCACCTTCTCAACCCTCACGACCACAACCACAACCTCCAACTTGTCCAAGTCCACCTCTTTCTCTCTTTAGGTGGCTTAAGACAGACCCTGCTCAGATGACCAACTCCACCACAGTTGTAGAACTTGTGAGTCTCCCCTTGGACACCTGTCGTACATGGACTTGCAGCAGGCAATGCTAATCATGCACCCGAAAGACAACTCCACTCAGAGTATAGTTTCATGCGACTTTCTTCTTGTATCATCGCAGCAATGGCCTAATCTAGCGTGAGAATAGTCGTCTGAGCTAGGAGGACAGATCATCTCTGATCAAAGGCCAGATTCAGATGAGCTAGAAACTACATAGTTCTCATCTGTGTAATGATATCTCATATCTTGCAATCTGGATCGCTACAGCTCGACATCGGTGAGAAGTAATCAAGATTCGCCCATAGCCTCTCCAAGTCTATGGAGTATTCCTGAATTGATTTCTCACGTTGTACCATAGTTTCTATCTCTCGTTGAATCTGAAATACCCTCATGTGGTTCTCAGCCCCAGCATAAATCTTCTTAAGCTTCGTCTAGATGTCCCTCACCTTTCGAATGTTATCGACTGAGGATATGATTGACGAAACCATTGAGTTAAGTAACCAGATGTAAACTATGGCGTGAGTGGTGCTCCACTTATCCCTCTCAGTATTGTCACTCTTTGGCTCGTCCTCAGTAAGATATCCCATTAGTCCATTCCCTGCTATGCTAGAGTTGCCTCAATTCGACGTGAACAACTCAAATAAGTGGTCGGTCCATTAAGCTTCAAATCCACGGGTGGGAGATCTAACATCACCTGCGTCAGAGCATGCGTTAAATTCGTGGTTCCTGTCAAGGCACTAGCTCCCTGTATGAGCCCTACCAGGAGCTTCAAGACCTTCGGATCAATCCTTCCCATAAAATTCTATCCTTTACTCCCCACACTATCTCCATCTCTCGTCATCTTCAATCACTTGGACTCCCTTCTAGGTCATACGCACCACCAACAATTCCCTTCATCCTTTATGCACGATTTTGATCTATATTATCATCAAGATCAGGATCTTCTTTGTGTGGCGGCATGACTATAGGAGATATGGTGGCGGAAACGGCTTGGAATGGAGTCTGCAATGGCGGCATGGAGTGATGATCAGCACTGGACACAAGTGCGTCTTCCACAAAGGAGGCCAAATGCATTGTGTCTCCCGCACAGAAGTTGCAGGGACGCGAGATGCACGTGGATTTGTCTCCGCACAAGACTTGGGAGCGACGCGGGAGGGTTTGTCTCCTACACGGTACACCTCGGGTAGAAGAGAGATGCGGATAGAAGAGAGAAGGTAGGGGGCTAGGATTTGGCTTTGATACCAAATTAAAAGAAAATAAACCAAAAATTAGGAATTTCATTCAGTATATGTGTTTAAATAGAAGTTACAACACTAAACAAATAAACCCAATAAAACCCTCTTATTACACATAATTCTCAACAGTCTTGCTCCCGACCGTTCAAAGACATCTCAGATAGAAGACTCCTTCCCCTATAAGAAATGTCGATCTCCCTGTACCGTCACAATCAAAGAGGTGATCTCTCTGTGCGGTCGTAATTAGCACTAGCGGGAAAAGCAACAGCATAATCGCAGCATATAGAGAGAACTTCCTTTTCGCTGCTATGTACGGCGAAAGGGGAATAAAAAGAGCCCTACCATGTCTTCTCACTCGGTTCGCACGACTCCAGTGTCTCCTCCTTCACCCAATACGTACGATCTTGTGCCCTAGCCCGCATGCCAGAGACGATCGATCCTCGACTGCCGGACGTACTCCAAAGGAAGCAAAGACGGGATCGAAGCATACAAAGACCGTTGAAACAGGCATTCTTCCTCGTTTCGTCTATTTCCTAGCAATACAGAGCAAGCAACTAAAGCAACGAGGGGATCGCGACATACGTCGACATTGGTAACTCCCATTTTTCTTTGCCTTCTGCACTGCTCTTACCCGAAACCATGGAGGCAGATGGAGGAGCCTGTGTAAATCTCGCTACCAAACAGCCCTAGGAGCACGATCAGCTTCTTGTTCTTTATCCCTGTCTCACACATGCAGGCCGGGATTCCAACCTTTCGCTATCAAAGAAAGCAACAACAAGCAGCGGCATATAGCAGAGACCTCCGACTTACCCCTACCTCAGAGGTCATCACTGCATACGACACTCCATGCTTCAGAGTCCTGTGCGCCTTCTCCTTCCCTGCCGCGCCTCGCCTCGCCGCTCTGCCTTAACGAGGGCCGAGCGCACCTCTATCGTTGAATCCGAGCACTTGAATGCAAAACAGAGTTTCTCTCATTACCATTTTTTAATGTGATCAAATAAAAATATATGTCTACATCTAAGTGAATGTTTATGGGATCTACCTAAACATATAAATTGACAGAATAAACTTGATTTGAATATCAAGTTGGGGCATAGCTGAAGTTAAATATTAAATATCATGAATTGGGCCCAAATTTAAGACAAATATTTTATTTTTAAATGTTGAAATGAAGAATTAATATTTCAATTCCACCACCAGATTGTCAATACTCATGTTAACGAACAGAAATCGGTTTAATTTTTAAAGCCAAAAATCATATGCAAATAATTTAAGCTTCAAATGATTTCAAAATTTATACAATCTCGCGGTTATCTCTTAAGTCAAATGCGATGCCTTGAAATGTGAATCCACCCATAAGACTTAGATGAGTACCACTTGAAATACTTTTGAGTTATATATGTTTTACGATGTCTGTATAAGAAAATTAATTATACATATTTTCAATATTCGCATATGCTCCAACCAACATATAGAATGTTCAAATATTAGATTCGAGAATTCTGTGTTGGCTAATAAGGTCACCTTGTCCATAAGATAAGGTTGTAAGTCACAACCCACTAGTCTGATCATCATCCTCGTAAAGACTGGAGTTGACGAGTCTAATAAGTCATAATAAATGTTCAATTCCTAAAATAAAAATTTACAAGTCAAAATCACCAAATTAGTTTGATCCTTCTCCTTGTTTAGGACAGGAGTAAGCGAGCCTTAAATCTTAAAAGTCTAAACTAACAAATTAAATGTCTCACTTTCAAATATAAAAACCTTAACATATCAAACTCCCCGATGATTGCCGTGTTGATTGAAGATTCCAACCTGAGGGCTCAATCCTTAAAATCAAGCTTTTCAAAATAATCAACTAATATGTAAAGTAGAATTTAATCATTTAAGAACTAAAAACAAAAATTCATCAGCTCTCCGCAATAGTTTGTTAAGCGTGACAAATCTCTGATTGACTTCAACTCACAAAGAGCGAATGTCATATCAAATGTATCAATATATCTACAATCAAAATAATTGCATCTCAATAAGGACGTGACCCGAGTCCGCTGTCCGTGTGGTTATGCCATCAAATTACACCACAAAATGGTTGTTACGACCAGAGTCCTCTAACTGGATGGTTGCAATCAAATGATACCATTGTATTACGGTCACGGTTTCAACCCGTATGTTCCCCAACGGCTTTCTATCTTTTGAGTTGTGAATCATAAGGGTACAATTGATTGACACAAAATCTTTGGTTAGTTAAGATTGACTTAAATTTGTCACAATATACAAATATTCATCCTAGATCTACAAGGATCTGTTAGACGGCGCACCTCATGGTTGCTGATAAGGATTTTTATGTCTGGTTGGGTCAACTAACTTCTCTGACTAAGTAGATCAGGGACCACAACAACCCGAGATGACGGAACCAAGAGATCTTGATTAGGCTTCGTCTTTATTCCCGCACCATCCTCTTTAAACTTCAAGTGGTGAATTCTACACTTTAAATCTTAGATTTGTTGCTATTATATGTTGAATATTTAATTATTAATGACTAGTCTTAATTGAGAGTGATCTTCCGTTATCAGGAAAGCTAATTAACCATAAAGGCTTGCGCCTATGGGAAACCTCGAACCCATGATTAAAAAAACATCCTCATTAAATGAGGGTGAAATATCTGGGAAATGTCTTATTTACAATATAATCTGCCTTCTAAAAATGCAACCATCGAAAGCTCTCTCTCTCGAAATAAAAATAAATACAGAGTTGCTCTGGAGAGCGGTCATGCATTTTTGGAGCCAACAGCATAAAGCTCATTATTTAGGTTGAACCAAATACCACATCAGTAGACAATTCTCAAATTATTAAGTGACAAGCAAAACATCCATCGCATCCAGGTGGTGTGATATTCAAATAAAACATGCAAAGTATTGGATGTTGAAAGAAAATTGTCAGCCATCTAAATGCCCCAGCATTATTTGAGATCCAAGAACTATTGAATATAAGCAATGAAGACTGACAATGCAACACTTTAATCACCAAAAACCTCCCAAAAAAAAAAGAAAAGTAAATTGATGATGAAGTTGCCCATTTTGAGATATTTGAGCTTTGATTTTAATCACTCCGAAAGCAAGACGAAGATCAAAATATTCAAATATTAAAATAACTAAAAAATCTTACATTTTCATGATTCAAATGACGAAGAAGCATTATTTCTCTTAAAGTTCTCTTCGCATCAACTCTATTGTCAAATGCATTGCCAATCTTCTTAATGGCAACCTCTTCACGTGTCTGTGAATTCACTGCAGCGCTACGCAAAAAATTATGTTCAGCCATAAGCATCACAAGCTTCGCAAATAACAAATACATCAGAGATTCCAATCCAATTTAAATACCACAAATAACTTCAATAACAAATAGCAAAGAACGACAAAACACAAAGGCATATCAGGGGCAGAAAAATTGTTTTAAGAGCTAAAAATAACGACCAAAAATTCATAAAAAAGATTTTAATAGTATGCTACTTCAAGAAACCAAGATTACCATATTGTACAACAAAATAGCCATAGAATTTTAAGTGAACACCAGTCATATATTTTAAGGCACACTTGTATGTTTCTGCTCCTCTCTAGAAGTACTTCGAAATGTTCTAATCCTTGATGTTTATGGCAGCCAACTGCAGTTAATCATGACATATTTGAAGCTAGAATTCATGAATTATGAAGATAAGCATATAAATAGAATGAACTGCTTTTCCGTAGTTGACTAGAGAGAGAGAGGGAGAGAGTAAGAACGGAAAAATATATATGGTACCAGCCTGAAAAAATATAAAAGACAAAAATAACAACTGGAGCGAAAACAACTTGAAAAAATATTAGTTTTCATGCCAGCATATATTCCATAATATAACCCAACCAAATAAATGCCTCCCAAACTCACACCCCATCCATCACACCGACATTCGAACGAGGTCCAGCCCAATATATCTCTTATCCCATCATAAAGCTTTGTTCATTAGTAAATAAATTATGTACTGCTGGACGCTAAAATAATTATTCTGCTTATGAGAAATCCCTTTGGTGCATTAAAATCCTATCTCATAGTTCTAAACATTTTTGCTGACAAAAAATAAGATTGTTATTCATCAATCATACAAAAAATCCACCCCTTCATACAACCAGTCAGTCAAGAGTCCAGGAAAGAAAACATGAAATTGAATGAATGTCGTAAATTTTCCTTGAAGAAAAAAAATAGAAAACAATGTAAACTCAGTCAAACTCAGGATGGCAAGGCAAAAACATTTAGGGACATTTACATAAGAACCACACAAATCGTGTATATCAACATATCTAACAACAAAACATTCATACTTACATGCAAACCACTTAGATCTTTAACACCACAGTAAAAATACCATCATCACTATCTTATTAAAAGTGAAATACACATTTTCATGCATAGGTTTATAAAACCAAAGTGTTATAAGTGTAAATATCAAAACTTTGGGTGTTAGATATACAAAATACATAAGAATTGACAGCATGTATGTAAATTTCACAAATATTAATTCTATATAGATGTTATAAGCATTAGAATAATGCTATTAATTCCATTTTACATAGGTCGTCAGACCAAAAACCTCATTAGTCCAAATAAATTTCAAATATGAAAGATAATGAGAAACAACTTATTGTCAAATTAACATAGAGCATAACAAAAAGAGTGGTTGGATTCCAAATAGGAGGAAGTTGGTCTGAATATAAACTGAAATGACAGATTAAAACTCAAAATAGATTGAGTATGAATTTATGTTCAAATATCCATTACCAATAGCTTCCAGCACTACTTTAAGAAGTACCCATTTCATGCAATTGTGATTCCACTAAGATACCATATATAGATCATCAACAAACCAGCTCCAATTATCCCAAGAAACATAATCTCATTCTAATTTTTCATAACATGGTATAATTTCTTGCTTAAAATTTAAGTAGAAAAAGATCTAAGGCTAAGTAACACCTGGAACTTCAGAAGGTTATACATCCAAGCTCATGATTCCATGCTCCCAATTTTATTTTTTTTATTTCGAGTAAAATAAAATTTTCATGGTCCCAAAATTAATACGGAAATTGTTCTCTGAACTCACAGAGGACAAACAACAAACACCATGAGAGCAACAAAAACCACTTCCTTCAACAAAATCAAAAGCTCAAAACTTGGTGCACAAAAAGAAGAGCTTAGCTTACCAGACAATGCCATAGGCACCTCGGCCCACAGGCCGCAAGGGGGGAACGTATTTGGTGGAGACCTCAAATAAGTTGCCGTAAACATTGTACTGCACATACCTGCCGCCATGAGTGAGAACTCCCTTTATCTGCCCCTCGCTAGATGCAGACCCCGGCTCCATACCTCCCTTCTACAAGCTCCTTCCTTTCTCGCCCTCCTTGCCAAAACAAAACAGAAGGATGGTGATCTTTAGCCGGGAAGAACGGGAACAGGGAAAGAAAAAGTAGGCGATTTGAGCTGAAATCCGTGAAACAGGAAGGTTAACGTCGTTCTCACCTTCTTTCGGCTGCTTTTGTAAAGCTTTATCTGAAGCTATTCATCTAACTTTCCTCGCCTTCAGTTTTCAACACGAGAGAAGAGAACTGGAGGCCAATCTTCTTTGTTGAAGACGAACTGAGAAGATGAATTGAATGCTGCGGGCCAGAGGAAGCGTGGAATTGTCAAAAAAACCAGGAAATCCTCGTCTTCTTTCTTCTCACAGAGATCCCGAACACAACACTGCCCTTGGACGAGAAAGATATGTAAATATATAAGAATTATGTGCTACTTATGTAAATTATCCTTTTTTTAAATAATTTACAGACATACCAAACAATTTTTTGGCATTTAGATATTTTACAGCTAAATGTCAATTTCCATCTAGTCACTCCATAAAAATATATATATTAAAAATAACAATCATCCTTTTGTTCTACTAAGAATCATATTTCCATTTAATTCTAATATATTAATATCATTTTTATACAATATATCCAAACTTTTAATTATATCAAATTTAAAACAACTACTCTTTTAATCGGATTATGTGATGGTTGATTGTTTATGTGGTCAACCGTCTAAGACGACTCATTCTAATATTGTTTGTCACTTGAGCTACATCAACCCTTTTACGGATGGATTTGTTTCGTACTTTGTCTCTAAACATTCTCATCTCAGCAACAGTTAATTTTGTTTTATGCTTCTCTTTCAAAGGGTAACATTTTGTGTCAAAAGGTATTGCAGCTCTCACAAACATCTAACAATTTTTTTCTTCTAAGTCTAATTTATACTTTACTTTCACACAAGTCATTGACAGATCCCAACACCCCGGATAGTCAGATATTAATTGTTGAGAAATTAGGGCGGATAAAAACAATAATCGACACAAATCAAGAAAAACACAAAGATTTAACGAGGTTCGGCAAAAATATTTATGTCCTCTGGAACAGAGCTGTGGCTTTCCTTCAATCTCAGAAAAAGAGTACAAGATTGTTTTAGGGTTACAATACAACATATATATATAACCCTCCGCACCCCCAACCCACGTAATGACGAGGCGTTTCTCGCACCCCCAACCTACGTAACGAAAGTCCCCCGATTGGACAAATTCTTTTGCTCTGCTCCGCTTCGTTCCAGCATATGTCCCTTATATGGTATATGAGTCATACCTAACAAATCTCCATCTTGGCGAATATTCAGCCCCTTAGAAGAAATACATCGTGGACTTTCTTACACAAGAAGTGGGTTGGTCCACCATGCTTCGCTAGCAACTGCAAACATTCAACAAGTCCAAGCAATGTAAGAACTTATTGATAGTAACTGGTTTGGTCAACTTATCAACTGCATTTTCATCAATATGAACTTTCTACAACAGTATCTCACCAGAAGCAATCAATTTTCTGATCTTGTGATACCTGACATCAATATGCTTGGTTCTCGCATGGTACACCTGGTTCTTAGCCATATAAATAGCACTCTGACTGTCACAATGCAACTGAACTCCACCTTGCTTAACGTCCAATTCCATTAGTAGCCCAGCAAGCCATATACCCAGTTGTAGACCTTCTGCCATCTGCCATCTAAATCACCTACACAATCTGAATCAATAGATTGAATTGTTGCCCTCCACCAAGAGTAAAAATATACCCAGTTGTAGACCTTCTGCCATCTGCCATCTAAATCACCTACACAATCTGAATCAATAGATTGAATTGTTGCCCTCCACCAAGAGTAAAAATATACCCAGTTGTTCCTTCAAATACATGAAAATCCACTTGACTACTTCCAATGCCGCCTTTCAGGTTTAAACATGTATTTACAGACTTGACTAACAACATGAGTCAAATCAGGACGAGTACATATCATTGCATACATCAAGCAGCCAACTGCACTGGCATATGGAACATTTGTCATGTCTTATATTTCTGTATCTGTCTTATGACACTGTTCTAAAGAAAGCTTAAAATAATTTGTCAATGGAGTGCTCACAGATATTGCTTTGTTTATCTCAAACTTGTCCAACACTTTCTCAGCATAGCCTCGTTGAGATAAACATAATCGTGATAAATCTGTGATTATTTGATTGAAGTCATTCACATGTTGTGTCAGATCAGAACCATCTTGCATCTTCAGCCCATATAGTTTTTGTTTCAGATACAATTTATTCGTCAGAGATTTGGACATAAATTGAGTTTCTAATTTCTTTTATACCTCTCTTGAAGATTTTAGATTCATCATATGATACATAACTTCATCTGTCAGACATAAACGTATGGTTGTTGTCGCTCATTGTTGCAATTTTTATCAATCTTCATCCTACATGACATCTGGTTTATTTGCCTACAAAGCCTTCAAGATTTTCTATTGCGCCAATAGATCTTTTATTCTTGTTTGCCACAATCTAAAGTTATCAGTTCCATCAAACTTCACCGCCTCGAATTTTGCACTAGAAATTTTCATTTGAAATTGATCCTGCAACAACCCCTTCTGCAAATTTTTCTGCTTCAGTTGCCGCTTTGTGAGATTTGCACACCTGAATTTCTTCTCACAAATCCTTAAGTCAGAAGTTCTCAATTCGCCAAAGCTTCCTTTGTAATTCGCCTATGTGTTTCAACCTGTCGAGGCCAAAGCAGGTGATTCGCTCGGCCCTTGTTGCAAACCCTGCCTACGTCAAAGCCTCTTGCGAAATCACCGAAGCTCGAACTTCACCTGGTCGCAAAGTCTTGCGATTCGTCTGGGTCGCGATCGCCTTTCACCTGTCGAGAACCACCTTCGGTCGTAGCCAAACTCTTTTTGTCGCGTGTGAATCATGTCTGCTCCTCTGCTAACTCTCGTCTTCGTACCGAACAGTCGCCAGCTATCCGTTGAATTTCTTCGAACGAAGACGAGAGTTCTGCTTATGTGCATATACCTGGAAATGAAAGATAAAAAATTAATACAAAATCCAAGAAGAGCATCTTTATCTTTCTGGATTACAAGAAATGTGTGAAATGATACAAGTATTGGGATCTTATTACAAAGAAGATGGTGATTAGTAGAGATGCAGTCTTTGATGAGCAGTTTATATTACAGCAGAATCAATACAATGTGTCATAGAACAGTTCTAGTTCAGATGCAGTGCAAATGGATTTAGAACATCATTCAAAAATAATTGAGAAAGTTGAAGGTTCAAATCCAACACCCGATGATTCCAATACAGATAATTTACATAAACTTGTTGAGAAATTAGGGTGAAGAAAAATAAGAATTGACACAAATCCAGAAGAACACAATGATTTAACGAGATTCGACAAAAATGCCTACATCCACGTCCTTCGGAGTAGAGTTGCGGCTTACCTTCAATCTTGAAAAAGAAGTACAATATCTGTTTTAGGGTTACAATACAACATATATATATAACCCTCCGCACCCCCAACCCACGTAATGAAACTCTCCCGATTTAACAGATTCTTCTGCTCCTCTTCGCTTCGTTCCAACATCCATCCCTTATATGATATATGAGTCATACCTAACATTAATTATATAAAAACAAAAGAATTGAGTGGTCTGTATGTAAATGACCCCTTTTTGTTTTTCATTTTCACTGATTCGGAGTTATTTTAAATTTAGACGTAAGTGATCAAAGAGTCAACTGCGTTTTCTCAATTTGGCCCTTGCTTTCACGATATTCACAAAATCTTTCCTCAAAAATGCAAATGCCAACGTCTGATGTAATCGAAGCACGCTTACCAGTCGCCAGCATGATGTATCTGCAAGTATTAAATTGTTTTTCCTACCTAAAGGTGGAGTCGCCGGCAATAATTATGAAGTTATTATAAAAAAATTCACGCTATATTTCCTTGACCACCTACCCATTAAGATATATTTAATACAGAGGTACCGAAAATCAATGGCAAGTTCTATGAATATTGATTTTGAGAGTTGAAAATAATTTTTTTATGCTTGAGAAAGTTAGAATTTTCAAGCCCACCCTTACAATAAACAAACGTCTTTTTCAAGACCTATTATATGCAAGCCCACTTACATCATAATCATTCTTTCTAATTGTAGTATTCAACATTACATGTGTCGTTGTCGCTGCCACCAAGTCTTGTTGTAGAACATTGTTTGTTCCGAAAATGCTACCTTTTAGATGCTTTAAAAAACACATTTTTATCGTAATTGTTTCCAATCAATGTGATGTAATTCCCGCCCTAAGATACGTAACTCAATCTAACTAGATTGTTACACACACACACACACACACACACACACACACACACACACATCTTCTTCAAGGAAAAAGTCATAAAATCTGGTGAGCACGCATGTGACATAGCCATCTCATTTAAGGTTTTGTTGCAAACTTGTCGATACTAGGATTATTTATTATAAAATACTTGTTCTGCCTTCCTGGAATTGTTTCCGTCAATATTAGTATCACGACTTGTGCTACAAATTCTACGACACAATCTTGTTTGGCATTGTAAAGTCACGCCTTCTTCAAGATCCATATGTAATGTCCAAGGCATGTGATACAACCTCACCTTTTTTTTAAATCATCTCTTTGAAAGCATGTGGTGCGATCTCATTTGTTGATTAGTCATATCCTTCAGGACTTGTATTATAATATTGTTTTTGTCACCAACATCTGCTCCAAATTCTAAATGTCAACCTCACTTACATTGTAGTTAACACTGCCGTTAACTTTGCACCACAAACTTGTTGCGACATATAAATTTGTTTTAAGACGAACATAGTAAGTAGTTGTCTTCTCCAAGATCTATGTTGCAATAATATTTATGTTATATTTGTCACCAGCTCTAAACCTATGCATCTCATTTTGCAGCATATTTTTCTTCTCCAAACATGTATCACAACTTTGCATGTTTTGCAACTGTTTCTTTGAGACGTTTAGCATAATGTCACTTATATCATAGTTAGTATTGTCTAAAAACACATGCCACAAATCCACATGTCATAATTATCTTCTTTGAGAATCAATGTGGAAGCTCTTATGGGTCTACATCATTATCATCTCTAATGAAACTTAGGACACAAAATTCTCTAGCAAACATGAACTATTGTTATCTTCAACCAATATCACATTTTGACTACCATCAATTATATTGCTACTTATAGTTTTTACCATTATACATATAAATCAACAACATTCACAACTAAATAATGCACATGGGGGCTTGCTCTGGCGTTATAATAATTCAAATCTCTAATTGTCAAAGGATAATTTGTAATAAAAT